GGGTCTCAAATACAGTAAATATCCTTATATTATATAATTATTCTTTATTAGGCACACAGATAATAGCTTGTAGATTTTCGTCACCATTATGCTGTTACATGCGATTGAAATGAGTCAGGCTCTTTAACGTGGCTATTTGCGCGTCATCGTGCCCCTAATGCATGGAATTTTATTCATGATATCAATCACTGATGGGGTTTAGTGACAATTAAGGACAGCCTGCCTCTTACTTATTCAAAACTTTGGAAACCAGTAAGGGCCATTTCTTATAGGAAACTTAATGCTTTCTGAGAATTTTCTCAGCTCTACCTGTAGCTATATCCCCTATCAATCTAGCTTCCCCTCAGCTCTACCTGTAGCTATATCCCCTATTAATCTAGCTTCCCCTTAGCTCTACCTGTAGCTATATCCCCTATCAATCTAGCTTCCCCTCAGCTCTATCTGTAGCTATATCCCTTATTAATCTAGCTTCCCCTCAGCTCTTCTTGTAGCTATATCCCCTATTAATCTAGCTTCCCCTTAGCTCTACCTGTAGCTATATCCCCTATTAATCTAGCTTCCCCTTAGCTCTACCTGTAGCTATATCCCCTATCAATCTAGCTTCCCCTCAGCTCTACCTATAGCTATATCCCCTATCAATCTAGCTTCCCCTCAGCTCTATCTGTAGCTACATCCCCTATTAATCTAGCTTCCTCTTAGCTCTACCTGTAGCTATATCCCCTATCAATCTAGCTTCCCCTTAGCTCTATCTGTAGCTATATCCCCTATCAATCTAGCTTCCCCTTAGCTCTATCTGTAGCTATATCCCCTATTAATCTAGCTTCCCCTTAGCTCTACCTGTAGCTATATCCCCTATCAATTTAGCTTCCCCACAGCTCAACCTATAGAAATATCCCTTATCAATCTAGCTTCCTGTCAGCTCTACTTGTAACTATATCCACTATGAATCTAGCTTCCCCTCAGCTGTACCTGTAGCTATATCCCCTATCAATCGAGCTTTCCTACAGCTCTACATGTAGCTATATCCCCTATCAATCTAGTTTCCCCTCAGCTCCACATATAGCTATATCCCCTATGAATCTAGCTTCCCCTCAGCTCTACCTGTAGCTATATCCCCTATCAATCTAGTTTCCCCTCAGCTCTACCTATAACTATATCCCCTATCAATCTAGCTTCCCCTTAGCTCTATCTGTAGCTATATCCCCTATTAATCTAGCTTCCCCTCAGGTCTACATATAGATATATCCCCTATCAATCTAGCTTCCCCTTAGCTCTACCTATAGCTATATCCCCTATCAATCTAGCTTCCCTTTACGTATTAGAAATATTGACATTCCTTATTTAAGCTGTTTATATATATTTCATTTATTCTTATTATCGTCCATCCATATGTCATGTATTGCTGTTTATGATTTGTGTTCAGTTTTGTACACAAACCCAACGACAGTAGACTGCTTGACTGTAATCGTTACTCTTCAAAATTATTAAGGATATAATCAAGATCCCAAACAACGGGTCTAAAGCATATATTTTTACAGAGTCTGGCTGCCTATACAATGGTCTTTAAAGGCTTATGCATGTGAAACTGGACTGAGTATATTATGCCAGACAGGCAGAATAATAAATTCTATTTGACATATTAAATGGTTATTAAAATTGGTTTCAGACGCAAATTGAATGTTTTATACACAAGCCTATGAAAACATTTCTATATTTACCATACGGCAAATAAGTAATTTTCTCCAGGATAATGTTCAGTTCAGACACTCCAAACATACGCCAACACTATGTTTCAGTTAACAGAAGTTCATATTACACTGGTACATGACATCAACGCTTCATTCTTCTCAACCGTACACTTGGTCACCTGACGTTTAGTTTATGACGTCATCACAGGTGTAACACGTGCTAGAAATACTCAGTCCTTCAAAACATGCGTCACTTCGCAATTCACTATGCGATAATACTGATATTATGCATGTCAACTTTATAGCAGTGGTATTGAATGTAAAACGGTGTTGTGGTTGTTATGGAATATTTCTGTTAAGTTTAAATAAAAGGATGTGATTATAACAATTCCCTAAATACGTCATCTGGAGACCGCCAGTTTTGGGATAACACCTTTGGGGAGACTGGCAGCTTGGGCTCTGAGGTAAATATTATCACTACAGATGTTATTGCCATTCCATGTAATAATGTGTTTGTATTCTATACAGCCAATGTAAGTGTACTGACGTTGAATATGAACGCCTACTCTTTGCTTTACTGCCATTATAATTTCCTTGCGGTAAGTTGAAATTAGAAAAGCGAAAAAGATACAATTGTCAATTTACAGCATGCCTTTGGCAGCTGAGGTTTTTAGGGTTTTCAGGCAGGAATGTGAAGGGTAATCAATCTCGATCTACGTCCTCTGAATAACACCCAACCCTTTAAAGTGTTAAGTATTTGTCTACTCAAAACCGGCCTTCTAGGACGTTTTTAATCACACATAACTCACCAATCTAAACAAACACAACATAATCTACAAATGAAACGAACCGTAGGGAATGTGGAAGAAATACTTTTAGCGTGCCGAGTCTGAATGTGTATGTCTGTACATATCTTCACGTAAAATATCGTGAAAAATATCATATTCTGCCTCACTCTTGTGCATTCCAAACATGTGTAAATCCAGTTTCAACGACTAAAACAGTTAATACAACAGTAGGTTCTAACCACTTCACCAAATACGGCATTGATACCTTTATATTTACGCATGAACATCGTTCCAAGGAACAAAATCAGAGTTTTTCAATATTTGCAGAAAAAGTATATATCCCGTATTCTCGATCCATATGTCGATACTACATTTAGGTAATTATTTGGAAACTCCTTCATTAAGAAGCGTGCGGTGCTATTACTCCCCACTTTGAACCAAATTATACTAAATGTGAAGAAAACCACAACGTATCTATAGTTGGATATTACTTGTATCTGTTTGTCGTCATAAGTCCATTTGTCTGTGGTTCGTAGGTATCCACCATTTCTTAAAGAAACAATACTGGACTTCGCTTGGTTAATATATAATTATATCAATTGCACTGTAACATGTTAAGATTTCTTTGTTGGCATATGAGAGTGCTATCTATCAGTCTTACATCATTTGCAAATGAGAGATACATGAAATCTTATAGTCCATCTCGGACAGTGAAAATTTCTTATTAAAATTATATATAAAACAGGGCTCAACATACTTCCTTGGCGTACACCACGTGATGTCAACAACGGCTAAAGGACCTTGTCTTCCTGAAGCAAAACGTTTAACGGATCATTTGTCATGTAACGCTAGGTGGGGTAGTCTAGTAGGCAAAGCGTTTTCTCGTCAAGCCGAAGACCCGGGTTCGATTCCCCACATGGGTACAATGTGAAGCCTATTTCTGGTGTCCCCCGCCTGGATATTGCTGGAATATTGCTAAAAGTGGCGTAAACCTACATTTCACTCACTGTGTACATCCATTGTAATTGCTTCCCAGTATCATGGCAGTTGTACACCAGGTCAATGTTATGATAGTTATAAATTGTATGACATTGCTCTTTTCCTTTTTTTTTCTCGTTCTTGACGTTTGAATTGTTTTGCGTATAGGTTTCTTGGTAAACGTATTGTCTAAACTTTGAAATCAACACAACAACTGGCCATAAATGAACAAATATTAATTACCTTTAGACACATGGGTGCCCGTCTTCAAAAGGATAAAATTCGATTCGTGACACAACTTCAGGTGTGTATGCGTAAGCACAACGCGGCTAAAGAGGCATACATTATTTGCTGACAGCTGCAGCGTGCAGATCTTCGAGTACGCGGGATGTTGGTATACTCTTGGGCGTGACGGATACATCGATGCGTATACAAAAATGGTTCGAAATCTTGTTCACGACCTGAAGAAGTAACAACTGGTAACACTGTTAAACCCTATAACTTCACGGCATTGTTGGCCTTGTACATAAAAGCACACTCTGCCATGAGTCACGATTGCGCTTGTAATATAAGCATACACACATGTGAGCATGCGTGTACATGATAATGTTATACTACTAAAAAAAAGAAGAATAGAAACGCATAGCCAATATCTGTCTATGTAATGTTTCGAAAATGAATCATAAGTGTGAGTCTAACCAGTATGTCTATGGTGAACGGTCCGTCCAACCATTTCCGAGTTAGAATCACTTGTCATTGAAAACCTGTCGCCAAAACGCAACCAAATCTTATATAGGTCTTGAAGCATGAATGAGATGAGATTCATGCGGCTTCGTTTGCATGTACAATCCGTGCAACATTTCTCTCATTGTTTTAGCGGCAACTGACAAACGCAAATCTTCAAGTAAAGTCATGCCTAGACTACCCGAGGCTTAGCGCGACAATGCGATTGGTCATTTGGAAGCTGGTGAGTTGCAGCAAGCGGTTGCAAGGCAATTCAATGTGTCCCAGAGTACCATCGGCATCGGCACAAGTCTAGTATTCATCCGAGGAGACCTTTTCGGGGACCTGTCTTTACACGACAGTGCTGTCGAAACCATCTCCAGTGGCCATTGCAAAGGTGGAGAAATGTGTTCAGTGATGAGTCGCGGTATCTGCTCAGGCGTCCTGACGGCGTCATGAAAGGCGTCTAATTGCGTCTAATTGCGATCAGGAGGTGTGCAGATTTGGTGGCGCAATGTTATGGTTCGGGCAGGCAGCTCATACAGTAGAAGAATCGATGTTATTGACACCCAAAGCAATCTTGACGTTACTGTGCTGAACTCATCGGGCCTCATGTGATTCCATTCATGAATCGCCAGCACGTCATTTTATGTGACTGACCTTAAAAGTGAAACTTTAAGTCACGCAGGTAGAGGATGTTTTTGTGAAACCCCCATTGGTGAAACACACTAGCAGGGGAAATGTGCTGACAAATCAAAGACCAAACGTAGTGAGAAGTTGTCATGGAAACAATTCTTATTCCAATCTGTTTCTTTTCAAAGGGATGAGGTCTGGACGGAACACGGACAGTGGTTGGGCGTGGGTGGTCCTTGCGGTGTCGGTGTTCAACATGTATGTGTTGGGGACTCTGGCCATCTCTGTAGGTATGTAAACTGCATGTTTATTTGGTAACCTTGTTGTTAAACCATTGGCTCCCAATGATGTACAGATCTGGGTTAGAATTAGTCTTCAGCAATCCATGTTTGTCGTAAGAGGCGACTGACAGGATTGGATGGTTCACTGACTTCATATCATTGTATCCCGATTGCGTAGATCGATGCTCATGTTGTTGATCACTGGCTTGTCTGATCAAGGTTCAATTGTATACACACTACCGACAAAGAGCGGTAATATTGTTGACTGTCAACAAAATTAGCGGAAATACTGTGATTCGTTTCTTTGTTAGTGGTAAATTACGTGTCTGTGCCAGGTCGTGCTTATGGCGAGACTGTTAATACATACGTATTACTACATTTGTTGAAGAAATTGTTTATCCCACAAACTAAAATACAAAACATGTTTTAAGTGAAAATCCGTTACCTGTAATATCTGCATTTTTTCTTTTCCCACAGGACACAGGCACGAAACCCATCCACTCTCCTTTATAACGTAATTCTATCATACATTCTTTTCCCAGGAATGTTCCAGGACCGGTTTCTCCAGCATTACGATGGCAGCACGGCTTATATTAGCTTGGTGTGTTCCTTCTTCATCAGCCTGCAGTCAATACTAGGTGACTACAATGCACGTGATTGGATCTTCAATGCCCTTAAAAGCCATTATAGCTAAAATGGACAGAAGTATAATTAAAACGACCACATGTTATCAGGAATGAGCGGGCCACTGTAACCCGATAATGCACTTTCTTGCCGGTGCCAACCTTAACAATTGTATTCCATCCTCTGGTTACAAAGCTAGGATTAAAACTTATATCCGTGAGCTGATGCAGAAGAAGTGGGACACCCAAGTAGGTATAAATAAGTTACATGGAATTAAACCACCTATGGGTTACACCTGCTTGGGTTGTCAATCCAGATGACAGTATAAAAATAGTTAACAGCAATATGGTCAATGGCAATAGCAGTCATGTAGCAACAACAGTCTTCAACCTTCCAAAATACACCGGAACGTCTTCGCGCAACATTTGGTTTCCGTATAAACCAAACAGATTTACCTTATGGAAAGTTATTTGCAAATCGGCTAACATGTCCACAGTCGATGTTTATGTTGTTGATGGAGGAACTAAACACATGCTGCGTTTCAGGTCCTGTGGCGAGTGTCATCTGTAACATGTTCAGTATACGTACATCCATAATGATTGGGGAACAATACTATCTGTTGGACTCGTGGCGTCCAGCATTACCAACACTCTTCCGCAGTTGCTTGGCTGTTTCGGAATACTCTCTGGTGAGGAATGTCACATTTGGCTGTGATTTATTTCCCTCTACCGTACCTCGGTGTATCAAACAACTAATGTTGGTTAATAATGTCTTAACACTTAAATTGTTATGTTATGATATTCGACGGAACAACACAACTAGGAAATATAAAGGTATGATATGATGAGCTTGTTTTTTCTCTATCCAATTCAGGGATAGGATTTGGCATCATTTACACGCCAGCTACAATAGCTGTCGGATATTACTTCCGGGAGAAAAGAGTATTAGCCCATGGACTCGCTACATCATTTATCGGCGTCGGTGTCTTGTCTGGTCCGCATGTGATTGGCTGGTTGATTGACCAATTTGGCTGGAGGACGGCGATGTCCACGCTTGGATGTGTCATTGCCCAGATGGTGGTAACGGGATCTCTGATATTTCCACACGAAAGGTCAAAACAAAGTGCTTCTGTTGCAGTTGGTAAATATGTCAGCGCATTCACACTTCTGAAAGACAAGATCCTCCTTATCATCCTCCTTAACTATTTCACGTACATGATGGGCTACTCAATTCAGCTGGTTCATCTGCCATCTTATGTGCGTTCCGTTGGAGTACCACCGGCCAAAGTCCCATCGCTGTTCACCGCCTATGGCCTCACTCTCACTGTGGCGCGGATTCTCATTGGGGCGATCTGTAATGACAAGAGCACTGATTTGCTGATGATGTACATATCGTGCCAAGGCCTGAACTCTTTGACAATATTATTCATGCCACTATTCGCGTATGGATTTGCTCAACTTGTTCTATACGAAGTTCTGTTTGGCTTATATTACGGTGTTAGCTTTATGTTACTGACGCCTATTGTTGTGGAGCTGTTCGGAGTTGAACGCCTGGCAACAGTGTTTGGAGTTACCTTATGTGTGGGCGGTGTAAGCTATCTGATTGGTCCCACCATTGCAGGTAAGTCCATCTGCCAACAGGCCCACGACACAATATGCCTGAAGAGTACATACTTGTACACGCACTTGTACATTCATTTACCTTCCATGTACAATGAAATATAGTAGTGAGTGAGTGAGTTTAGTTTAATGCCGCACTCAGCAATATTCCAGCTATATGGTGGCAGTCTGTAAATAATCGAGTCTGGACCAGACAACCCAGTGATCAACAGCATGAGCATCGATGTGCGTAATTGGGAACCGATGACATGTGTCAAACCAAGCCAGTGAGCCTGACCATCCGATCCCGTTAGTTGCCTCTTACGACAAGCATGGGTTACTGAAGATCAATTCTAACCCGGATCTTCACGGGTCTCAAATACAGTAAATATCCTTATATTATATAATTATTCTTTATTAGGCACACAGATAATAGCTTGTAGATTTTCGTCACCATTATGCTGTTATATGCGATTGAAATGAGTCAGGCTCTTTAACGTGGCTACTTGCGCGTCATCGTGCCCCTAATGCATGGAATTTTATTCATGATATCAATCACTGATGGGGTTTAGTGACAATTATGGACAGCCGGGCTCTGGATATCATCAAGCGTTTAACGTCGCTAAAAGTCTGAAATATTGTCGATGGAGCTGAAAAATTCGTTTTGGAATTTTAGCCCACTTAAGCGTTTGTTTTGGAATACTTTTATAACCATATTTCCTTACAAGACACACCTTTGTTACTGCACCAACAACTACATTATGTACTTCTACTTCTTCAGGTGCACTGTACGACATGACATCATCATACGCCGCAGGGTTCCATATTGGTGGTAAGCATGTACCCTTCATTGCACGAGAATGGTAAAATGTTAACTACAAAGCTTTCTGTATATTTCAACGCTAAGAGCAAATTAACACTTACAATTACAATTGTGTTCATGAAAACCATGTTACTATTTCAAGCCAACAAAGGCAATCCGTAAAACCCGAAGTGAACTTAGATGGGAGAATGAGTAACGGTGCTCATTAGACAAAATGTATTTTTTCGCCATGATGAAATATTTGCCAAAAATGTATATTTAATTTACAGTTATAAGCGACGGTACTCTGTGGATACCCCGTAATATAGCACCATGTCCATGACTTTTTATGCCTCACATGTCATACAGTAAACTGACTTTAATCCGGCACGTCTATCTGTATGCTTACAGGCTCTGTGTCTCTTCTGGGCACTATGCTGCTATTCCTCATCCCGATACTGAAGAGAGAAGCCAAAGTTCCAGGAGATCCTGAGAACCCGGAATGTTTGGATCCTTCTTAATGCGAAGGAGCAAGGTCGATTTGGAAGTTAATGTGCATACTGTTTATAGGTTACCTTCGCACAGAAGGCCACTGGTCCATGGTGCTCAATTATATTTTGAAATGTCTTTATTGTATTTCATATTTCTTATTAACGTTCGAAGACATGAATTTAGAAATACGTTTGAAAGTACATAAATTATGCGAACTGAGCAATTACAGTACATTTATTCACAGTTGCGTTTTCATACCATTTAGGAGATAAATCTAGTGTGTTTGAAAATCAGAGACACGCTTTACTGAATTGATGGCGACTAAATATTTCAATTGAAACCTCACGCTACGCGTGAGGTTTCAATTGAAATATTTAGTCGCCATCAATTCAGTAAAGCATGTCTCTGATTTTCAAACACACAAGGGTTATCTCCATTCTACCATGAACCATTTAAAATCGAACTTCCTCGCTCTGCGGAAGACACTGCGTAATCCGGCATGGGACGAGAGGCGAATTGAACTCGTCTGTGAAGGGAGCGGTAGGTGCCGTTCGTATTTTTTTTAACATTACAACATAACAATATTCTGTCCAAAGAAATCAAACTACTGTTTATTCAATGCAATTATGTAATACCCGAGATCTTGGGGTTTTTTTCATCCCAACTCCACACGACTAAAACCAGCCTATTGTTTTGTGTGCCGTGAAACTGTACCCCCCTGGCCACACTATAATGGAATCGTCTGACCTACTTATTTTCTTCGAAGTAAACAGTTACGCAACAGTTTGAAATGGCGGACGAGCCAGTGTTTACATTTTGCGAAAGGTTGAAATTTGAAGTGTCAGTGGGCAATACTTGACTGACTGTCGAATCTGAACCCTGCAGAATCGAAGGATAGATACTTTCCTGATCAACCTACGACCTGTAACTCATCAAAAACTGTTGATTTTTATGACCGGCCGATCATGATTTCACGTACTGCCTCCACCCCGGCATGCGACAAAAGGGTGACAGTGCTGCTGCTTAGTGTACATGCGACTAACTTGTGATTCCTTGGAACTTTGTTTTCATCGTTTGGGACTGGACTGTGTCCAAGCGTTTTTCAAAGTAGATGAACATAACAGTGACAACCTTGCGGGGAAGCTGGCAGAGAGCAGAATTATTTTGTGAACGATGCAACGGGATATCATGGAGTATGACTATGAGTGGCATAAATGTGGTGTTTCGCCAGACCGTTAAATCTATCTTGCAAATTTCCCATTCTAAACGGAATTAAATATACCATTTACCAGGTAGGTAAATGTTTACTAATGTTTTGCTGCATATTTTGTATAGATAGGGATGTATTTTTACAAGGCTTTCTGATTTATATGTTAGAAATTGTTTTGTTTATGTTTGGGGTTGTGTATTGTAATTGAGTTTGAATATTTTTATAATAGAAGGTAATATGATAGTGAGGTTCCCTCATAATTGTGGGGGTGGGGGTTGGGGGGATCATATAATTGTATATTTCGAGTTTAAATAAATGTTTTATCAGCATTTCCATCACGTCTGTTGTGTTGATATTAGTCATGTTGGTGGTCAAGCTGAAGTAGTGCGGCAGTGTCCTATACGTGCGCAGTGAAGCGCAATGAAATCAAACGCATTTTTAATCCAAAAAGTTCCAATTGCCTATGTGGAATATTCGAAAGTCAGCGTCAAAATCCATGGAGTTGTTGTTATGATCCGCCATCATTGTGGTCAAACGGAAGTAGTTCTCACAATAAGATTTGTCAATGCGCGGTGAAGCGGCCTTACAATCAGATGAGCGTCAATCCACAATTGATGCCAATCAGAATCTAGTATTTTCTTGATTCATGGTAGAATACCTGATTATGATGGATTACATGTCTCTTGGTATAATCTTTGCTGTAAGTTCCAACAGGAATCAGAGTCCGTTAGTCCCCGTGATCTCCATACAGGTGGCTTTGGTTGCTTGGAGCTACAGCCTGTGTGTCAGCCTGTGTTTCAAACTGTTGTATATTTTAGAGTGAAAACAGCAAAAGACGTTGTTTATCATTTAATGTTATCTGTTGTAAAGAAAAAGAATTATACATATGTCATCTTTAATATATTGGTAGCATATAATTATGTAGTGAGATTGTTAGTCGCTGTGCGCTTAATAGGCGTTAAAGCACGTCTAGAGAGGGTATGTAAGACCACAGCTTTCAAAGTGTAATTATATCTACCTGAATTGTAAGTGCTGAATAAGTGTTTAATTTTCATCTCCGGCTACACCTACGACAATCGCAAGTAACTAGTGATAGGTGTAAATCTGGCTAGGGAACCATGTAGGTAGCAAAGGTCCTTGAATTACGTATGTTGCTGGCCACCTAGCCCGTTTTTATGCAATGTCAGTGCCAAATAATCAGTTTGAATGATCTGTGACTAGTATTAAATAAATCTGTGATATAATGCTGGTTATTTTTCTGTCAATCGATAACAGCTTATAATTAGCGCACAACTGTATGACTGCATGACGTGTTCAAGTTCACAATATGGCTAGGGCACTTCCGACGTGACTTAGATTAAACTCACTCACTCCAGCTGTTGTAAACAAAGACGTTTCGACAACCACACAAGAATCAGTATAAAAACGTCGCATCACCCGAGTAAAGAAGTTGTTCATCCATAACGTTCGTCCGTATCTGACTCTCCAACATCTGAACATGCCACGCAAAGAAGGTGGTGTCATCGCCATATTCCTGAGAGACCGATACGACGTTAGTTGTAGCTCCTCACACCAGAATTAGCCTAGTGCAGCTCTGAACATTTTCAGATTTACATGTTGAACGGAAATCTTTGGCACAGATAGTGGATCTGAAAGGCATATACGTGGAACAATATTCAAGGCAACCCCCGTCATCTCAACTTAAAGGATGACATTACATGATTTGTTGGCACTTTACTTGGCGTTGATAGCAAACTCGCTCAAACACTGCACAGGTACCTTGCATGTTCCAATACACGTGACATCCACATGGTTCACTGACTGGGTACAACGAAGGGAAATAACTCCAAAGGTTAAATGATAGAACATGAAAAGGAGTGCACAATAGACATGCCTGAAGCTGACCCATCATAGAACAAAGTTGAAATGAAGAGATACATTGTCTTGGTTTGCTCGAAGCCCGGATCTAAACCAAATGGGACACCTTTGGGATCATTTGGGACGTTCTCATCATTTGATTTTACCATATTTTAAATAAATTATACGGTAAGATTAGATTTAAAGTTCTGAATGCCAGTTTTTACAGTTTACTATGATAATGGACTGACGTTTTAGTGATCTTCCTCATCACTTTTATTCTTTATTCAGCTTAATAGGAAAATATGTTTTCTTGCAACGAATAACTGCAAAATTGTCAATGCGGCTTAAAGCAATATTTACTCCCTCACTCACACATTTGGGACGTGTAGTAAATTATAGAGCTCTCCATCACAGAATCTTCACGATCTGATCCAGGCATTCCATGAGGAAATACAACAGGTTTCCTAGTTGATTAAAATGCGTCTGATCTCGAGCATGTTGGGGGCGACTTTGTGATGTATTCCGTGTAAAGGAAGGCTACTACAAATACTGACAGAAACTAGTGACACTTTAGCGTTGTTCTATCCGGCTCATCACTGATGACGTCTTGATACTGGACAATCAACAGCAGCAATTGCAGGTGCCCTGGACTGTAGAACACAATCTGAGACAATACGCAAACTGAGGACCGGTGTGCAGCAGACGGGCACCGTTGCAGGACGCCAAGGCCAGCGGCACCGGCAGAGACGTCAGGACTCAGGACTCAGGATTTTATTCTCATAAATCATACAAAATGATATCGAGAACATACATATATTTTGATAAATATAAAGTGCCAATTTGGCTTATATGCATATGAATATAATATAAGTGTATAACTAAAACAGGGATAATACAATTTTCGTTAAACGGGACAGTTTCTGTACCAAAGGATGATAGTCAGATTTCATAAGGGAAACAAATTGATCAATATGGGGGTTATTACAAAAATAGCTAGGGAGTATACTTTTTCTTACATCATCAAGAGCTCTGCATGTTTTAATATAATATGAAATTCGTCACATATAACAGGCTGGTTACAGATTGTACATATTCTATTTTCTGTGTCTATGTTATACCATCTGCCGGTTTCAATCGGTAATCTGTGATTGCATGTTCGCAGTTTTGTTAACCAGATACGTTGTTTCAATGGGAGACTGATTAAATAAGGTTCTAAGTTGGGAGTATGCTTATATAAGGAGTAGTATTTACCTTTTGATGAGTTTTGAAGGTCAGCATTCCATGATTGCTTAAACTGATCTATAAGTGTGTATTTAACATAGTGTTTCAGCCAGGATGCGGAAGGAAACCTTTGGGACTGCCATATATAAGATAACCCAACTTTTTGAAGTATACTATTCACTACATTTAAAAGATCAAATTGAATACCCAAACAGGTTGACACATTAGCCATTACATTATACACTATATTGATGTAATGACTTTACACCAGTAACTTCTTATTCTTGTTTTAATCATTACTTCAATAGGATATCTACCGAGTTCCCCATAAACAATGAAATTTGGAGTAGATTATCTTACCTTAAGTATATACTTACAAAATTTCAGAACAGAAAACATCGCCAGTGTTGCTTGTTCTGCAAGTCTGTTAATTGCTTTAGCAAACTTACCATTGCCGTTAAATAGAATTCCCAAGTATAGATATTCTCGGACAACTTCAATTTCCTCATCAAAAAGTTTAAACCTATATTTGTTCTTTACATAGCCTTTTGAAAAGATTACAATTTTTGTTTTATCTAAGTTAACTTTAAGTTTCCGCAATGTACAATATGTTGAGAAATTATCTAAGCTTAATTGTAATTCTTCAGCACTTTCCGATAACAAAACGGTATCATCTGCATACAAAAGTGCTCATAATTTTATATACATGCCAAGCTGTTCCTCAAAAAAACAATTTACAATACCAAGTCCATTTACATTGTGTTCACATAAAAAGGTTTCAAGGTCATTAAGGTAGAGAGCAAATAAAAATGGAGATAAGTTTTCACCCTGTCTAACGCCAATATTACAGTAGAAGAATGGTGAAGTAGAATCACCATGTTTTACACAGGATTTAATTTGTTGATACATATTGTAAATTATCTTAAAACATTTGCTGCTTATATTACTTTTAATCATTTTAATCCATAAACCATTTCTCCAAACCGTGTCAAAGGCCTGACTAAAATCTATGAAAGCACAATATAATTTTTTATTAAGACCTTTATATATATCGATAAGGGATTTCAGTAAATAAACATGATCTGTTGTAGAAAAAGCTTTACGGAAGCCGGCTTGTGCTTTACTTATAAGTTCAATGGAATCTGAAAAGTTTTGTAATCTCTCCGATAGTATGGAAGTGAAAACTTTGCCCAAGCAGTTTACAATTGTTATACCTCTGTAACTATTAGGGTTTGATGAACACCCTTTATTCTTATAGACTGGCCTGATGTAACCGAGTAGCCAAGATTCAGGTAGAACTCCATCATCAAACACACAATTAAACAATCTAACATATACAGGCATGAGAGTATCAAGCGTTGCTTTGATATATTCATTGTGTACACCGTCAGTACCACAAGCCTTGTTGTTGTTGAGCGCTTTCACTGCACGAGCTATTTCGCTTTCTGTATTTAGATTATCTAATATGTCACGTTCACTCAATTCATGCATGTCGATGTTTTACATCATCGCTTTCATCAGTCTCATTCACACTTTTAAAATAGTTAAAAAGCTTCACCAACTCAATATTGAGATTATTATTACGCTTTCTTGAGAAAGATTTTAAAATATTCCAAAATGTTTTAGGATTAGATTTTTGTGCCAAGCATATTTTTTCTGCACATTGCCTTTTGTAGGCTTGATTTGACTGTTTCAGAGTTCTGTTATAGTTTTACAGGCCGTAATAAATATTTTGTGGTTTGAGTCAGACTTGTTTTTGCCAAAAATACGCTTAGTTTTATGATACTGCTTTCTTGCCGCTTTACAGTTTGATCAAACCACAGTTTCGATTGTTTTCGACGTCACAGCACGACAACGAAATACTTTTGTCTGCAACCACCACTAGCAGGCAGTTGTTAGAGGTAGAGAGTCACCACAGATTACCAAGAATCAACTGCATACTGCATGTATCAAAGCATTATAATACGTTAGTTTGTTAAAATGGGTTTTAGCCTGAAGTTCTGTAAACTGACATTGCTGCTGAGGAAATTACTTTTCTCACAATGCAGTTTCAACCTTTTTAACTGTCTATAGCTTCCAGTTCATGACATCTATAACATGCCAGGACTTGCTGTTAAATTATCTTGTGAATGGATTCAATCTCTCGACAAAAAAGCATGGTTTAGAGAATTGTGGAATCACCGTGAACAGTTGGAAATGGTAATAACTACGAACAATAGGCTTTTCAAAAGTTCTGAACCGTGCGTTACACAGTTGATTCCCAGATCCCACCGCAGTGCTCCGGCTAAGCTGCGCTGTAGTTCTCTCCCCTTAGAAGTTGAACGTGTTAGGTTCACTCGACCTAAGACAGCTCTGGAACATCGGTTATGTAAGTTCTGTGACTACCACATAATGGAGGATGAGATTAAGCTTTTGATCAGTCGCCCATTATATTCATTATATTATATTTGCGTTACAGTTTTCTCATGGAGATGAATCAATCTGTACATTTTTCGAGTCTAAATGGCAGCAGACCTGTCTACTAGCTGCTTTTATCTAAAAAGTCGTCTTCCGTTTCTTTGTGCGACTCTGGGAGGAAGTAATTGTTTCGGCTTCAGTTCCCCCGTTTTCCTGCATCTGAATACGTGCTTTGGCCTGTTGAACGACTTGTTGGGTTGGAGAAGTGAGTGCAAAAGTCTCTTTAGAATGGGGTAGGTCCATCTTTACCCCTTGTTTCTCCTAATAGATCACATAATCATCAACGTTAGTAAAGGGATTGGGATATCCTTTAGCCTGCAAATAGTAATATTTGGTCCATTTCTTAGGGTCGTCCAGATAGGGTATCCAGTATCTACTGTTCATTTTCTTGTTCAGAATGAATACTGACTCTCACACAGAGGTTATAGATGAAGTGTCACTATCACTGGTCCACGGCTAACTGAAGCTAAATCACCGTTTCTGTCCTTGATATAGATATCCACAGTCTGTACATTTTTCAGTTTCATGGGTACATAGACATCTCTTAAGGAGGAGGACCACGTTAACTATAACTGACACATAATGAAGACACATATCTATACACTAGCATATCGTTTAACCTTGGGTTGAAAGTAAAACGATTCAGAATATCATTCATTGAATGTCCTCTGGCTTTCATCTTCACATAAAACAAAGCATACAGTCCACAAGTTTTACTGTTTTTACTTTGAAGTGTCCGTGTATTGTGTTGGAAAGAAGAACCATTCCTTTGTAGGAATGTGTGGAATGTCCTTTGATAATACTCAGGCTTTCTTCCCAAACTGTCAAAAAATTCTGTGTGTTTTGAATCTTGCATCCTTATAGCTATCCAGTGTTGTCCAGGTTGATGAGAGGCTTGGTTATTCAAAATGAATCCTTGGGATATGTGGATATGGTCCGTGGTAACTGATTGGCAGCAAGCACTTTGATTTTCATCCCTTTAGTAACACTGTCTTTGTTCAAGAGGCATTGTAGTTGTCGTGTATTCATAGTGTTGCTAATGTTACGTGCTCCGTTCACTTAAACATCAACTGATCCTCGCTGTAAATGAGACAGTTGATACCTTCCGGAAGCGCTGACTTAACATGTAACTCCAAATGAAGGTCGCCTTGTTTAAAGGTATTCAAACAGTTCCCTTCTATGCGTTTGGGTTCCAGCGTAAATTGATAAATAGCATATCCCTTATTGAAATCTTTTCTTATTCTGGGAAAGTTCCGTTAACATTAATAACATTATATTTCCCTACGGTCAGCTCAGTACTAGGTCATTGATCCCTGTGAAATAAGGTCAGCCAGGTGTTCGATGACGTCAGAAATCAAAATGGCGGATATTCGTCTATTCCAGCCCCTATAGAACACCTGAACCCCCCCTCTGGATCCACCAATGGGGAGTCTGTATGGTTAAGTTTGTGTTGAGGGCTGTGATGTGTGGGTGCCGAAAACTGTGCGTTTTGTACCCGGATCAAAGGATCCGTCTATATACATGTGGCACCAATTTGGCCAGTGTTCATGTTATCAAGCTGTGTTCACGCGTTGTGTTTTTGGCGATGTTGGGTTTGTTTGATTGTTTATTTATTTCGGAGGAGAGTTTTGTGTTTATATCAGGATTTTTTAGTTTAGGTGTGGATATACTGGATGGGGTTGTGTTTTGTTTTAGCTTAATTAGGTTGTATTCAGTTATGAGGTTTGTTATGCGTTTTGATATTGGGGTTAGAAGTGGAGTTTTGAGAGCAAGCAAAAGTTTAAGTTTATTCCAACAAGTTCTACCTTCCTCTCCATTTAACAATAAATTCCACGAGGCAACAAACTCCTTCATTACATTATCCTCAACAAGTGTACATTGAACTGATTTGTTGATCTTAACAGGTGTATCTAAATACATGCTGCGTCCTTGAAATTAATGGAATTCTAAAATGTACAGTCTTCGATTTGTCTGAACTTAATTAAAATTTACTAATTCCTCGCCAATCTTTCAAAACAGCTGAAAACAATATTAAGATCAGCTTCGCGTTCCGCTAGCAGAGCAATATCGTCTGCATATGCTAAAGCTGCTATTGTTCGTTGAAACAAGACGAGGTATAATTCTTTATTTCGTACCGGTTTATTAATGGAAAGAGCTTCAAAATCCTCATAACATGTGCTCAAAGGGAAGGTAACTATATTTTCTATTGTACTTTACGTTAGAAATATAAAAAAAAGAAGAAAAAGGGGCCTAGCGTTACTCGAACAAAATAGAATTTCATACAGCTATATTGAAATTGTTTATATTTACACCTGGGGAACTCCACCATGTCAAAACGGACAATGTTACATTTCAATGTCATGAAAGTGAAGGAAGTAACTTGAAAATGTAACTACCCTGGACACAAAATGCTTTGCGTGCGGAACACGTAGGTAGAAAATATCGTGCGTGAAATGTAGATGTATTTACATGAAACAAGCAGGTTTTTGCGTTAACTCGAACACTGTTAACACGTAATTGTTTTCAAGCCATTTGCTGAAATGGGTGTTTAAAATATCAGAGACATGGGACTGATGAAAGTGACATGCTCCCATATCTTAGTGGGTCACATGGATTACTGTCTGGTTGACAGGGTTGACAATACTGGTACACCATATGTCAGGACACGCAGCGTTATCAAAACAGTAGCTAAACAATTTGAAGAGAATGTCTACACAGTGGTTGTGTTTTAGTGCCTCGGCTGGTACAAGATCTGGACCGGCGGACTCTCCACGTTTAGCACGTACAACCGTGTGACCTCAGGCCTTGTAATACGCAAATGCAGGTCAGTAGTATCTTTAGCAGTGTCCCATATAACACTATTGTTATCGAGGTCACGTTGAACTTCACGTAATTGACCATGATTAAAGGCGTGTGAAAAACTATCCACAAACAATGAACTATAATCCTGTTTTCAATTATTAACACAGCAGTTCTAAAGACACAAACCTCACCATCAACTTCGACTTCCCATGGAATAGAATTATGCCAATGCCAAGCTTACCGAATTTTCCAAAATGAACGAGAATCACAATTATTAAGTTGGTCCAATAAACGTTGCTGTTCGTCCATCCGATAGTTATGTCCGTTTCCAGTACTTTATCAAATAGTTTTGTTTCTGTTGTAAACTGTTTTCGTAGCACTTTCCGCCGAACCGTTTTACAATTTAGCCACAGTTTCTCTGCATCACAAGTAAGGTAAAGAGTGATCCGGTATGATTATTATCGGATGTTTTTTAGGATTATTATAAAGGGCACATATCCACGCAACTATTACATGCTCAAGGCGCTGATATGTTTTCCTCGATCATTGGATGTGAATCTCAACGACACATCGTATCAACTCCCTGTGGAGTATACAACTCCCTGTGGAATATACACCGAGTTATTGTGGCTTTCTCATCCTTTCGATGATATACTGTCAGGAGTATTGACACCGCTAATCGAAGATGACATTCTCGACACTTCAAAGTTTCAATGTTGCACATGTTTTCCTGTCCACAACAAAGGATCCGTTTTTAATATATGTGAATTCTTGCTGGCCGACTCTTCCATATATAATGCACAAATTAGCGTCCTCTAAGAACTCGGTTAAAAGCTCACATGACTGTTTTCACAGACGTCGATGACCACTGCTTCCGGTAAGTTGTCACTACCGGGTTAGAATTGGTCTTCAGCAACCTATGCTTGTAAGTGAGTGAGTGAGTTTAGTTTTATGCCGCACTCAGCAATATTCCAGCTATATGGCGGCGGTCTGTAAATAATCGAGTCTGGACCAGACAATTAAAGTGATCAACAGCATGAGCATCGATCTGCGCAATTGGGGATCGATGACATGTGTCAACCAAGCCAGTGAGCCTGACCATCCGATACATGTAACAGTATCCCCTATCAATCTAGCTTCCCCTCAGCTCTACCTATAACTGTATCCCCTATCAATCTAGCTTCCCCTCAGCTCTACCTATAACTGTATCCCCTATCAATCTAGCTTCCCCTTAGCTCTACCTGTAGCTATATCCCCTATCAATCTAGCTTCCCCTCAGCTCTACATGTAGCTGTATCCCCTATCAATCTAGCTTCCCCTCAGCTCTACCTGCAGCTATATCCCCTATCAATCTAGCTTCCCCTCAGCTCTACCTGTAGTTGTATCCCCTATCAATCTAGTTTCCCCTCAGGTCTACCTATAGCTATATCCCGTATCAATCTAGTTTCCCCTCAGCTCTACCTATAGCTATATCCCCTATCTCTCTAGCTTCCCCTTATCTCCACCTATAGCTATATCCCCTATCAATCTAGTTTCCCCTTAGCTCTACCTGTAGCTGTATCCCCTATCAATCTAGCTTCCCCTCAGCTCTACCTATAGCTGTATCCCCTATCAATCTAGTTTCCCCTTTGCTCTACCTATAGCTATATCCCCTATCATTCTAGCTTCCCCTCAGCTCCATCTATAGCTATATCCCCTATCAATCTAGTTTCCCCTTAGCTCTACATGTAGCTGTATCTCATGTCAATTTAGCGTCCTCTCAGCTCTACCTATAGCTATATCCCCTATCAATCTAGCTTCCTCTCAGCTCTACCTATAGCTCTATCCCCTATCAATCTAGTTTCCTCTCAGCTCTAACTGTAGCTATATACCCTATCAATATAGCTTCCCCTCAGCTCTACATGTAGCTGTATCCCCTATCAATCTAGCTTCCCCTCAGCTCTACATGTAGCTGTATCCCCTATCAATCTAGCTTCCCCTCAGCTCTACATGTAGCTATATCACCTATCAGTGTAGCTTCCTCTCAGCTCTACATGTAGCTATATCACCTATCAGTGTAGCTTCCCCTCAGCTCTACATGTAGCTGTATCACCTATCAGTGTAGCTTCCCCTTAGCTCTACCTGTAGCTATATCCCCTATCAAAATAGCTTCCCCTCAGCTCTACCTGTAGCTATATCCCCTATCAGTGTAGCTTCCCCTCAGCTCTACCTGTAGCTATATCCCCTATCAGTCTAGCTTCCCCTCAGCTCTACATGTAGCTATATCCCCTATCAATCTAGCTTCCCCTCAGCTCTACATGTAGCTATATCCCCTATCAATCTAGGTTCCCCTCAGCTCTACCTGTAGCTGTATCCCCTTTCAATCTAGCTTCCCCTCAGCTCTACCTATAGCTATATCTCCTATCAATCTAGCTTCCCCTCAGCTCTACATGTAGCTATATCCCTATCAATCTAGGTTCCCCTCAGCTCTACCTGTAGCTATATACCCTATCAATCTAGTTTCCCCTCAGCTCTACCTATAGCTATATCTCCTATCAATCTAGCGTCCCCTCAGCTCTACATGTAGCTATATACCCTATCAATCTAGGTTCCCCTCAGCTCTACCTGTAGCTATATACCCTATCAATCTAGTTTCCCCTCAGCTCTACCTATAGCTATATCTCCTATCAATCTAGTTTCCCCTCAGCTGCACATATAGCTATATCCCCTATCAATCTAGCTTTCCCTTAGCTCTACATGTAGCTGTATACCCTATCAATCTAGCTTCCCCTCAGCTCTACCTATAGCTATATCTCCTATCAATCTAGCGTCCCTCAGCTCTACATGTAGCTATATACCCTATCAATCTAGGGTTCCCTCAGCTCTACATGTAGCTATATACCCCTATCAATCTAGGTTCCCCTCAGCTCTACCTGTAGCTATATACCCTATCAATCTAGCTTCCCCTCAGCTCTACCTATAGCTATATCTCCTATCAATCTAGCGTCCCCTCAGCTCTACATGTAGCTGTATCACCTATCAATCTAGCTTCCCCTTAGCTCTACCTGTAGCTATATCCCCTATCAATCTAGCTTCCCCTCAGCTCTACCTATAGCTGTATCCCCTATCAATCTAGCTTCCCCTCAGCTCTACCTATAGCTATATCCCCTATCAATCTAGCTTCCCCTCAGCTCTACATGTAGCTGTATCCCCTATCAATCTAGCTTCCCCTCAGCTCTACCTGTAGCTATATACCCTATCAATCTAGCTTCCCCTCAGCTCTACCTATGGCTATATCCCCTATCAATCTAGCTTCCCCTCAGTTCTACATGTAGCTGTATCCCCTATCAATCTAGCTTCCCCTCAGCTCTACATGTAGCTGTATCCCCTATCAATCTAGCTTCCCCTCAGCTCTTCCTGTAGCTATATCCCCTATCAATCTAGCTTCCCCTCAGCTCTACCTATATCTGTATCCCCTATCAATCTAGTTTCCCTTTAGCTCTACATGTAGCTGTATCTCATATCAATCTAGTCTCTCCTTAGCTCTACCTATAGCTATATACCCTATCAATCTAGCTTCCCCTCAGCTCTACATGTAGCTGTATCCCCTATCAATCTAGCTTCCCCTCAGCTCTACAGATAGCTATATCCCCTATCAATCTAGCTTCCCCTTAGCTCTACGGATAGCTATGTCACAGATAATCTTTATTTCCTCCTAAGTCGAAGATACAGCAGGTTGTAACATAGGTTATATATATGTTTTTGCAGGTTACAGAGTGTGATAATCAAAATTAGAACAGGTATTTTAGTTGATGTAGCCAGGGTTTCACAGAGCTTGCGATAAGTGTTATACATTTAAACCACATTTCTTGTTCAAGCTCTTGAGCATATACATCTGGTAGACCACCGAGCATACATGAGACAAATAGTTCTTCATCATTCCATAAACTGACAAAAGTGTCAACATCTAGCATGTCAACTAGTGACTCAATCAAAGGGTTTCTACTACTTTGTATGAGAGTACAGTGTAGAAATACATGTTTTACAATATCACAGGCAACAATGCCACATTCACACTAAAGAGATTGAAGGCTCATTGTGCTGATACGTAAAAGAGCAGCAATATTATTGGAACACTCTGGCATTTTATAGCATGCAGACCATAGTCTGTGAACATTTTTAGGATACCTTATAGTCTGATATCTTTCAAGGTTAAGTCTCAACCTCGTTACAGAAGCAACATGTGAATCCTCAGCTTTAAGTATTCTTTCTTTAACCAGTACAGACCACTCAGCCTTCGTTAAGAAGGAAGATTGGTCATCATAGTTGTATAAATGCATATCTAGGTCATACATTGTGACAAGATTATGCATGTGGAAGATTGGCGATGACTTGCAAAATCGCTCTTTCTCCAGTGATGAGGTTTTTTTCTGTACTGACAGAGTCTGTGCACAAGCACTTTCTTAAAGACAAATTCAGTATCGCTGTTACATAGTTTACCGAGAAATAGCAAGGACTTCTGGTGCATATATCTTCGCAGTGTGACCAGGGCAAGACTGTCTGTGGCTATTGTGGATGATCCACGTTTTGAAAGGCCTTGGATACTCTTACAAAACTGGCTTTGTACAGTTTCCAGCATATCATATTCCTTTTCAGGTAAACGGGCCCATACATTACAAGTGTACAAACCGCATGGCAGAATAATTCCTTCCCAAATACGGATACAACAGAGTGGCTTAAGGCCACCAAAACACAGGCCATGGCTCCTATTGGCATTAAAGAGTATCCTAAGCCTTTCACATACAAACTGCGTACGTTCTATGGTTTTACCGGATGAATAGATTTGGAGACCAGCAAATTTTACATGTGTATTGGACGGTATTTCCTTCTCACCAATGTATATTTTAGGATGGACATTTCTTTTTGTATCTCCAAATACAAGAAATAGACTCTTTGATGCATTAAAACGCAAGTGCCACGTGTGCGCATACTTATGTACAACATCAAGCAAACTTTGAAGTCCACCTGGGTATGCACTTAACAAAGACAAGTCGTCGGCTAACAGTACCCCTGGTGTTTTACCCCATGGTAAACATATGCCATGCCCAGAGTCAACGATACTGTGAAGTAAGTCGTTTATATATAGAGTGAAGAACCAAGCTGATAAGACACGACCCTGACCTACACCCTGTTTTACATCAAATACATTAGAAATACAGCCACCAGTGCTAACACATGATTTCATTGATGTGTACATAGTGTATATAAGTCGCTACAGTTTACCTCGAATTCCGAAATTGTAAAGCTTATAGAAAAGTCCATTCAACCAAACTCTGTCAAATGCTTTCTCATTATCAAGGAAGGCACAATAAACTGGTGAATTTCTTTCGACATAGTAGGCAATACTGTCAGTTAGAGTAAGCGCTGCCGTTTCCGCCGCCCGCACCCTTCCTAAATCCTAACTGGAGAGGGTGAGGGAAGTCGTTTTCTGCTTTTGTCCATGTTTCAATTCTTTTGAGCAGTAATCTTTCAAAAAGGTTTGAGAGCACAGGCGTAAGAGTGATACCTCTATAATTACATGGTTCATGCTTGCTTTTACCATTTCCTTTGTGAATTGGTAAAACATTACCAACACTAAATGCATTTGGTACATATTCAAACGATATAATGGCATTAAATAGTGATGCAATATGGTCAATAACAGACCGACCAGCATACTTTACATGCTCGTTTGAAATACCATCTGGGCCTGGAGATTTGTTGTTTTAAAGACGTTTCACGGTATCAAGTACCTCATCTTTAGTAAATGGGGAGAGAATGACTGAATCACTGTCGTCATTTACAGGGTTATATACAACATCTTCTACAAACTTATCAACGTGCTCTGTAAATCCAGTATCAAAGCATTCTGCATTCTGAGGTACAGACAAGCCTCTGAAGTACCCGGCAAAGAGATTACATACACCTTCCTGCGTGTTACAGGAGTCTCCCTTATAACTTAGAGACTGTGTTTGCTCTCTGTTACGTTTTAACGTTTTTGTAACTCTAAAGTATTCTTGGATGTCTACCTCAGCTGCTTGGTAGATTTCATAAAATGTTTCGTTTTTGTAACGTTGCTTAGCTGAACGATGGTTTCTTCGAAATGCACGTTTGGCTTGTTTATATTCAATCAACAATTTGTCATCTGAACTGTGGCTTTTGCCGTTAGAAATTCAATTTTTGCGGCAATTACGCATCTGGTCATGATGTTCTTTAAGTTCATACTTCCTCCAGTATGGGTTTAATTGTGCTTGGAATTTTGAAGTAGGAATTGCAAGTATAGTTGCAGCATGTAGACATTTTGTGATATAACTATTGTGATACTCGATGTATTCAACAGGAGATGAAAAATGGGAAACATTAAAGTAATTTTCGGTACTCGAGTCCAAAAAAATGGACTCGTTGAAGCTAGGGCTCGTTGAGTACTCGGGTCCGAGTCGAGTCTCATCCCTCGAGTACTCGAGTCCAAAAAAATGGACTCGTTGAAGCTCATCGAGGGATGAGACTCGACTCGGACCCGAGTACTCGAAAATCACACAAGTGAACACTTACTTCTTTCCGACTTCATATCGTCATGTGACTAACATTTCCCATTGGTCAGAATCAGTATTTGGATGTTTTCTTGACAAATCTTTTTTGTCTTCGTACTTCTTGTACTTCAAAACGCAGTGATATACCGCACAGGCGGCATTTGGTTATTTTGCTCTTTTCACTATTCAGATCAAGATACGCCCATACATTTGATTTTTTTTATCTTTCTCCATGTCTATCACTTGTCAAGATAGTTACCTAATCATTTTAAGAAGTGAATCTCAAACGATGTATAATATTTACTCTCATCTGCAGACTTGTAACAACTAATACCATACAGCCACACCGTGTGAGGAGTAAACTATTTAATCTAGGTGTTAATGAAAACATTATCAGATGGGTTAAAGAATTCAGGGTACATAGAACTCAGTATGTCAGTGTCAATGGCTATCAATCTTCTTTTCTCTCAACCTCTACTAGAGATCCACATAGCTGTGTTCCTTCATCCGTACTCTTCATCATACTAATGACTGTTACTTGTCAATATATGACTTGCCTACTGTGAAATTTGCAGATGACGCCACTGTTACTGGCCTAATTTCTGATTCTGAAAATTATTATCGTGAAGGCATTGACAAAACCGTAATGACAGTTTTTTATCAAGCCTTTATTCAAAGTGTGTTGACCTACAATTTTCTATGTTGATATGGGGATCTGTCTCATCGCAACAAAAACAAACTTTATAAATTGTTAATACTGCTTGCAAAATTTCTGGAGTGTCTTTCGAGTATATTCCCTTTATCTATGAGCGCGAGATTGTCAAAGAGGCAGCTAAAATTTGATTTGATAGTTGATATATTTGATCTCAACATTTTGAACTACTTCCTTCTGGACGCTGCTGTCGATTACCTTCCCTCAAAACAAACAGAGCTCGACAGTCTTTCATACCATCAAGTATTCGTGAATGCAACAAATATTTTGAATCACACCATCATGTGATTAGAACTAAAATTATTCAGATTCTTTACCTATGAGGTTAATTGAATTACATCATGTCAGATTTATTTGTAAATAGCATTCGTTTTGAGCATGCAATTATTGTGTATATTTTTGTGAACTGTGTATATATTCATTTTCAGACAGTTTGGATGTATAAGAATTTCCACCTGGATAATAAAGTTATATCTTATCTTAATATTAGACGTTAACGGCCGCTCGTGCTTAGCACATGGACCCGTGAAGATCCGGGGTAGAATAGGTCTTCAGCAACCCATGTGCTTGCCATAAAAGGCGACTATGCTTGTCGTAAAAGGCGACTAACGGGATCGGGTGGTCAGTTTCGCTGACTTGGTTGACACATGTCATCGGTTCCCAATTGCGCAGAATGATGATCATGCTGTTGATCACTAGATTGTCTGGTCCAGACTCGATTATTTACAGACCGCCGCCATATAGCTGGGATATTGCTGAGTGTGGCGTAAAACTAAACTCACTCACTCACTCGCTTAGCACATGGCAGACAGTCTGTCAACGTCAAATAATTCGAGTTATCTCCCCTTTTCGAGTCCTCGAGTCCTTGAAAATGGACTCGAGTCCAGCTGAACCCGACTCGTCCTCGAGTACTCGAGTACCCGTGGAAGCCCTAGTTGAAGCCCTAATGGGTAACATCAGCACTATCATGGTATATATCCTCGTCGGTAGTGTGCTGTCCCACGTTGTCGTCTATGATGATGACGTCAGCACTTGGGTTGTCTTCCATCCTGCTGTCGCAAGGGTAGTTTATCTCCTTGCTTGGTTGTTGTCGACACGGCTGTTGACTCTGAATAGTAGCAATTTGACCACCGGCTGGAGGGGTATCCACAGCGTCCCTCTTGACAGCCTCTGAATAGGTGGGCTTGTTGCGTGTATTCATCAGGTCAATCTTACCGTCGAGAATTATTTGTTGCTGGATTTTCACCGCTGAACTTTAAACAAGAACGTCCCTGACATATTTGCAAAATGTATCTGTCATGTTCACGGCTTTTTTAATCACAACTGGCATTCAAATCAAACTTCCTGACAGTGCCTTACAGATTTTCTCCAAACCTGTGGAAATGACGTTCGTGTGATAAGCCATCTCATCTCTTGATTGGTGATTTAAATCTTCTGTGAAGAAATTCAATTATTGCTTCACCATGTGCCCAGTGTGACAGCAAACAATTTATGATTCAATAGTCACTCACTCACTCACTCACTGTTAACGAGCTGTTTGTAAATCTCTCGAGCAATGTGTCCAGCATAACGTGGCATCGCATATTCATATGTACCCAAGTGCGTGAGCTAGCTTTAAACCTCTCTGAAAGCGCCATGTCACTGACCTTAAAAGTGAAACTTTAAGTAAGTCAAGCAGGTAGATGTTTTTTCTGAAACCCCCATGGTGAAACCCATTAGCAGGGGAAATGTGCTGACAAACCAGTGACCAAGCGTAGTGAGAAGTTGTCATGGAAATACTCCTTATTCCAATCTGTTCCTTTTCAAAGGGATGAGGTCTGGACGGAACACTGACAGTGGTTGGGCGTGGGTGGTCCTTGCGGTGTCGGTGTTCAACATGTATGTGTTGGGGACTCTGGTCATCTCTGTAGGTATGTAAACTGCATGTGTTTATTTGGTAACCCTGTTGTCAAACCATTGGCTCTCAATGCAAATACAGATCTGGGTTAGAATTAATCTTCAGCAATCCATGCTTGTCGTAACAGGATTGACAGGATTGGATGGTCAGACTCACTGACTTGGTTGACACATATCATTGTATCCCAATTCAGTCGATCGATGCTCATGCTGTTGATCACTGTTCAAGGCTCAATAAGAGCTGGGCCCCACCGTTGACTTGAGAGGTTCTCTCTGTATATTGAGAGAATGGCTGAGATGTAATTGTAACTTTTGGAGTTGTACAAAAAACCAACAAGTTCTTCCATGAAGTTGTGAATCTGTGTTGCATGTAAACTAGGAAAGCTAGGAAGTATCTGAGGATCTTTTGGGAAAGAATTCATGCTAAAATAAACAGGACTTGAACACCATACCGGACTTATCTTTGACTATCCATCTTAGCTACATCATCCCCAGAACCAGAGTGGATAGACAGATTGCCTAGGGTGGAAGGGTAGAACACCCTGACACCCTCAGGTAACACACCAGGTACACACCACTTATTATAATTATTTGGGTATTTTGGTCAAAGTGTGTAGATACGTTAGCTGTCAAAGGTATAAGGCTCTATTTTTCATCAAAAAAGTTACTTTTCAAGTTCCCAGGATTGCCAGCTAATATTTCATCAAATTGTTTGACATTAACATCGTGGTGTTATTGTATGGTGCCGAAGTTTGGGAATTTACCATCTAGATTTTCCGATAACCCTACTTCTTATTCTTATAAGTTACTAGTATGCAGTAAAGATCATGAAATTATTCTAAATGTAGCAAAATATGTTAAATATTGTTTGTCTCTCCGCAATGTATAATCATTGTCACTTTCAATATATCAGTATATTAATGTTCAATGATGTCCATGGGCCGATTTGCCTAAAAGGAATAAACGAATACTACTGTCAATACTACCGACATTGTCTTTATTCAGCATTAAAATCAACAGCCTTCCAAATGTTTTAAGTGATTCAGTTGATGGATAATTATTTGTGGATGATTTTAATGTTTCTGGTAGAGGTATACATATGCATGCAATAGACAGCAAATTACAAATTTGTCTCAGTAAAATTGAAAAATGGTCACTTGAAAACGGGTTTAAATGTTCTATAACAAAAAGTAATTGTATACATTTCTGCAGAAAGTATAAACCGCATAAAGATCCAAAAGTATTTTTAAACGTCACCCCCATCAAATTCTTGGGTCTTATTTTCGACTCACATTAACTTTTCTGCCACACATTAAATCTCTTAAAGCTAAATGCCTGAAGGCACTTGATCTGTTAAAAGTCGTTTACACTTCTAAGTGGGGGAGGGGACCAAACTATCCTACTGCACCTATACAGATATCTCATCCGGTCGGAACTTGATTACGGCTCCATCGTATATGTTGGAGCCTGTAAAAGCAACCTCAAAATACTTGATTCTATCCATCACCAAGGTCTAAGACTTTGTCTTGGGTCTTTCAGAACTTCTCCTATTGACAGTCTGTACGTCGAGGCTGAGGAGCAATCTCTTAGCCAATGTCGTATAAAATTATCCTTACAGTATATACCAAAACCATATTCTCACAAGGTTAACCCAGCATTTAATTGTGTTTTTAATCCTGGTGGCGCAGTGGCTTGTGCCACTGTCATTGGGTCCAAAACAATATCTTCCAGATTACCCAATGACAGTTCAATTTTCACAGCAGAAGCAAAGGCAATACTAACAACTCTTAAATATATAAATAGACACCCTAAATATAAACAGTATATCATATTTTCAGATTCTCTTTCTTGCCTCCAGGCTATAAAAATCTTTCGTGTAAACATCCACTTTTAATAGAAGTAATTGAGTTATATTATGATCTTGCTACTGGTCAATACTGGTCGTCCTCTGTTGGTTACCAAGCCACGTTGGAATTTCTGGTGACAATGGCTTTGCTGCTAAGGCAGCACTCAAGAAATCTGTGACACCACTTCTTATTCCATACTCTGATTACAAAGCAACCAATAGATTGTACATTCGTGATCTGATGCAGAAGTGGGGCACTCAAGTAGGTACTAATAAATTACATGCTATAAAACCCTATATTGGTTGCACTTGGGTTGTCAGTCCAGATTTGAAGAGGTCATCATGCGACGATTTCGCATTGGCCATACTAGATACACTCATGCATATTTGCTCAAAGGTGAAGTTCCTCTGTATTGTAACCCTTGTGATGGGAGAATCACAGTGTATTTTGTCCATCACAAGGGATAAATATTTTAATGTCAAAACAATTAAGGATCTTTTTTATAGTGTTACTCATCATTAAAGCATTGATTTTTAAAAGGAAATATAATTATTAGATAAATTTTGAATAATATGTTTTGTAAATAGATAAATGACATGGTAGTCATAATGGTAGTATAAATTAGCAGCTGAGATGGTTAGTGGCTGTATCCTCAAAGGGGTTGCAGTATCATAAAATTATTGTCCTCCTGAGAGGATACGTAACTCCAAAAACTTTCAAAGTCAAATTTAAACCTACCAGAGTTGTAAACGCAGTTTTTTTTTTGCAATTTTAAACTGCTGGCTAAACTTGTCCTACAGTCGCCAGGGGCTGAAGGGGTGGTGTAAATCCAACTAGGGTCCATGCAGGTAGCAAAGGTACTCTAAGTCCCCATGGTCCCTGTTTCGTTGTGTTCTCGTGGTGACATGGCTTTGCCATTCCACCATTCGATAAAAACGAGCGGGTCTGCTTCCACTGACCTTTAATGCATACATCGCCATATTGGTATACGCTAGGTATGCCGGGATACCGGGACCAGTCATTGTATAAAATCTAACATCGTAACATCCCTCTTTCTTTACAGAAAACATGAATAAGACAGAGTAACAATCCCCTAGAGGTTATCAAATTTCCATTTCTTTCAACCGTTTAAGCATTACTCAAATAAGATGAACATAATTCTTGCCACTCAAGCATATATATCAATGGAAACTATCTGCACAACACTACTCAGTATCAATTACTTGATATAATGCTAATAATAAATTTAATACTGAAAATTGTGTGCAACATGCACCAATACTGAAATAAGGCGTGTCCATGCACCACACTGTATGCTCACTGCTCATCCTATTGTGACCACTACACAGTCAAGATCTTTATGGTACATAGTCACTGAGGTAGGTGGGTTTCTTCACAACCCTGCCTCGTACTGGTCTCTGAGGACTGACATGGACGTCACTCTTAGACGGACACAGCTGTGGCTGGTGAGCAGACACTGATGGTTGTTGACCATGTTGTGGTGTTTTCGGCAGCGGTTGTTGTGACTTCACTGGGGTACGTTGAGGAGGATTAACATTTTTCAACTTGTTTGTCACTGGTGGCTCAACAGGTCGTATACTGCTGGCTGTTGTCGAGGCTGGTCCATGGTTTGAACCTGTTGATTTCGGGTTTAAACCTGGTAATCTTCATGAGCACTGGTTGAGTAGGTATTGAACCTGGCACTGGAGCATATCTATTTCATATACCCGTCTCTGCAAAGTGTTCTTTTGATGTTCGAAGATGTTTTCGATTTCGATTCCTCTGTGCGAACTCTGTATGATTGAACATCTACCTGGTTCTCAATTCTAGCTTTAATCCATCTCCTGTGACCCGGAGGCTGGAATCTCACAATATCACCCTTGTTAAGTGACGGCAGTTCTCTGGTATTCCTGTTGTGCATCTGAACAGCTTTTTTCTCAATAAGCCTCTGTTTCACTTTGTGCTGTATTTCTGGTTTCAAAAGCTGTTTGGACATTGGTAACTGAGTTCTGGTACGTCTACTGACGAGAAGCTGTACTGGTGATGAACCCATTTTCTCATTTGGAATATTTCGTAACTCAAGGAGAGCTAGAAATGGATCCGCCTTAGCGTCATGCGATTTCTGTAGCATTGTCTTTGCGATCTTGACTGTACTTTCAGCTTTGCCATTGGATTGTGCATATCCTGGACAGCTGGTATTGTGTTCGAATCCGTACGCTGATGCGAAATCTGAAAAACTTTGAGAATTGAATGGAGGACCATTTTCAGTTATCACCACCTGCGGGGCTCCATGGCGGGCAAAGTGGGCCTTGAGCTTGGTGATGATTTCGTTTCCTGCTTTACCATCCAGGCGATCGATTAAAAAAAATCAGAGTAGAAATCGACCGTGATGAGATAGTCTCTCTTGTCTCATTCAAACAAGTCAGAAACTACATATCGCCATGGCAGCTCTGGAATCTGATGATGTATCATTGGCTCCTTGCACTGATTACACTGTATGCTATTGCACACCCTGCATTTTGCCACATAGTCTTCAATGTCCCTGTACATGTTAAGGCCAATATACTGTCTCACGTGCTCGTCTAACACAGCTCTGTATACCTGTGTGACTCAAATGCAACCTGTTCATAATCATTTGTCTTGAAGCTGTAGGCACACCAATTCTGTCTACTTTGAACACTAGTCCATTTTGCACAGATATTGCTTCTCTGAAGTTGAAAAATGTCTCAAATTCACTGGAAATCTGTCCAGTTCTTCAGGCCATCCTTGCTGAATAACTTTCATCTGGTGAAATAGGTTGTCATCAGTCTTTGTTGCTAATTGCAGCTGTTGCAGTCTTTCGCTCGATACAGCAATGTTTTCCGTCATGTCTCTGCTTTGTAGCTCTCTCTCAAACGAAGTTTGGAAGATTTCTTCTCTTTCAGCATCCTTCTCTCATCTCGTTACAAAGGCTCTACTGAGTGTGTCTGCAACATACATCTCCTTCACTTTTTTGTACACAACTTCGTACTCATACTTCTAAATTCTGCGGTCGTAGAAGCATCCTCTGTAGACGTTGTGGCGCAGATAGCAAACTCTTCTTATGTATTGTCACAAGAGGCTGGTGATCAGTCTCAACAATCACATTTCTTCCATAAACATATCTCTCGAACCTTTCTAATCCAAACACCATTGCCAACATCTCTTTCTCTATCTGGGCGTAACCCATTTCTGTACTGGTGAGGGCATCTTCTCAATGGCGTCGACTTTACTCGGATCAGCCCTCAAACCATCCTTAGATATCACATAACATAGGTAATTGACCTGTGTCTGCTTCAAATCAACCTTCGCTCTATTCAGTTCAGACCTTTCTCTTTGCATCGTAGAAGGAGATTTTCAAGATTCTTATCATGATCCATGGAAGCATCTTCGGGTGTCTTGCCTTTGCCCCATACAAGCAAATCATCATGTGATGCAAAAACACTATTCAGCCCTTTAAAGCATTGTCCATCCTCCTTTGAAATTCATCTGGGGCTGGGGAGATGCCAAATGGCATTCTGAGCCATCTGTATTTTCCGAAGGGCATTTCAAATGCAGTCAGGTAACTACTGTCTTGGTCGAGGCAGACGTGCCAAAATCCATTCTTGGCATCTAGGTGTGTGAAGAAACTCCTAATATTATCTATGGTTGGTATCGGGTATTCATTCCTTTTCAATGCCGTATTTAATGGTTCTGGGTCAATGAAGAGCCTTACAGCTCCCGAGGTCTTCATCGCCACTGCTAAACTGCTGATCCAGTCTGTTGGTGTGTCCACTCGTGTTATAATTCCTAGCTTCATAAGCCTATCCACCTTAATCTTCACAGTGAGAGGCCATTTTCTGCATGGAAACTTGACAGGTGTCACTGTGCTATCTGTCACTAAATGCAGTTCACCTTCAAGCTGACTTTCACCTTTGAAGACGTCCTCATATTGCTTCAATAGCTCCTCACCTGGATCAGTCTTCACATCCACGTTAGCAATGTTCTCCCTATTCACTGTAATCAGACGCATGTGTTGGACTGCTCTGGCTGCCATAATAGACTTACAGTCCTGGTCAACAATCACAAATCTCACTTTGTAGCTTTCATCAGTCTTTGGGTTTGTCACAGTGAAAACCTTCTGACCCATTGTCCGCATTTCTGTCTTGTGACTAGACTTTTCTGTGTCTTCTCTGTGTTCCTAAGTGCTGTATCCTTTGTAATGGCAACATAGTCTCTACTGGACATAACATTAGTTGTCGCACCACTGTCCAACTGGAAATCCATCACATGACCTTCAACATTCATGTTTGCACATATGGTTTTTTCAAAATCTTTATCAGTGTTCACAGCTAGGACATAGTCATTGTCATTTTCATCACAGCTATCATCTTCATTTTCCAAATGAACTGGTTGGGATTTTCTAAATCTACACATGGAAGCAAAATGATGTCTTTTCTTGCATATGCTACATGTTTTACCATATGCAGAGCAATCTTTTGGCGGACAGTCTGTTCCACAATACTTGCAAACTCTTGTTTTCTTTCCTTTCTTTTGAAATCTTTGGTTCTTTTCACTCTTTTCAGGTCTCTTAAGTTTGTTCGTTTGAGCTACAGCATGTACCTCATCCTGACTTGATGTAGCATTCATAGCTTTGGTTTGGTATTGACTTGGTTCATATGCCCTACAGATATCAATACAATTTGCTAGAGTGAGGTTTCTGACTTCTAGTAGTTTACTTCTGAGTGCTTCATCTTTGACACCTGCAACAATCTAATCTTTCAGTAATCTGGCTTCTATCTCTCCATAATTACACGATCTGATTAGCTTTCTAAGATGTGTAACATAAGTGTCAATGTTTTCACTTGGCTGTTGGTGTCTTATGGAATACATAAGCTTCATAGGTCTCATTGACCTCTCCAAGACAGAATTCTTCAAACTTCTGTAACACTACATCAATGTTATTTCTTTCTACATCATTGGCAAACGACAGACCATCATATATATGTCAAGAGCCTCACCACCTATACACGTCAACAGGGTAGCAGTTCTGAACCTCGTATTTTCATCAGTCAGTCATGTTACAATCTCATAATTGTCCCACATCCTACGGAATTTCCTCCAATTCGTAGCCAAACTACCTTTCAGCTCGAGTTTCGCTGGTAAGGGCACATTTATGCGTCTTCCCGCAGCAGACTGATTACCCTGGACTGGCACTTCTGGTTGCTCATTGCCCCCATCATGGCCATGTGCTTCGCCTTCTTCAACCACGGGACCGTTTTCATTCATCGTTATCACGCTAATGACGCTCACTGACAGCTCAATAGTTCATACTGTCGGCATAAATAGAGTTCTGCTCACTTCTGACACCATGTTTCGTTGTGTTCTCGTGGTGACATGGCTTTGCCATTCCACCATTCAATAAAAACGAGCGGGTCTGCTTTCACTGACCTTTAATGCATACATCGCCATATTGGTACACGCTAGGTATGCTGGGATACCGGGACCAGTCATTGTATAAAATCTAAAGGGAGCAATCATAATACAATCTAACATCGTAACAGTCCCTAGTATGGTGATCTACCTTCAGTTGTTGGCGATCTATACCCTTTTTATATTGTATTGTCCAAATAGTGCTATTAGTTTTAATTTTCCACACTAGTTTTAGTTGTAATTGTGATATTCTAGTTGTTTTACTGTCCTTTGACGACAGGGTTTTATAATATACACATATTCCATTTCAATGTCACATATGTTCTCGTCACGATATGGCTGAAATATTGCCGATGTGACATTAAATATTAACTCACTCACCGACATTGTTGACTGCAAACAAACTTATGGAAAATACTGTGATTCGGTTTTTTCTTAGTGGTAAATTACGTGTCTGTGCCAGGTCGTGCTTATGGACAAATTGTTTGTCCTACACACTAAAAGGCAAATGTTTTTATTGAAAATCCGTTACCTGTAATATGTGCATCTTACTTTTCACATATGGCGAACGCATGAAACCCATCCAGTCTACTCTATAACGTAAGTAATAAGAAATTCTATCATGCATTCTTTTCCCAGGAATGTTCCAGGACCGGTTTCTCCAGCATTACGATGGCAGTACGGCTTATATTAGCTTGGTGTGTTCCTTCTTCATCAGCCTGCAGTCAATACTAGGTGACTACAATGCACGTTGTTCGATCTTTAATATCCTTAAAAGCCATTACTGGCTCAATCATGTATAGTTTCAGTAGATTGTGTTTTAATGACTCCGAAATAAATGATAAATCCGAAACCTTATGTCAGTATACCATGATCAAACTACGGTGTAACATGTTAACTAGGTTTACAAATCAATACAAGCTTCTGCAAATACAATGGCAGTACACAATTTGATGTCAGTAAAAAATAGTTGTGGTAAAAACAATATGGTCAATGGCAATAGTAGTCATGTAGCAACAACAGTGTTTAAGCCGAAACAGAATATTCAGAGTGTAAACATCTTCGCACAACGGTTGGTTTCTATATAATCTGAATAGATCTACTTACAGAAAGTTATTTGGAAATATGCTAGCATGTCCTCAGTGGATGTTTATGTTGTTGATGGAGGAAGTAAACACGTGCAGCGTTTCAGGTCCTGTGGCGAGTGTCATCTGTAACATGTTCAGTATACGTACATCCATAATGATTGGAGGAACAATACTATCTGTTGGACTCGTGGCGTCCAGCATTACCAACACTCTTCCGCAGTTGCTTGGCTGTTTCGGAATACTCTCTGGTGAGGAATGCCACATTTGGCTGTGCTTCATTTCCCTCTACGGTATCTCGGTGTAGCAAAACAACTAATGTTTAACATATGTTATACTTTGGATTACACTTTCTTAGAAAAGTACAGATTCTAGTACTCAGTTGTAATCCCAAGTATAGCATATGTTACATTTGACCCATTTTCTAAATGGCATTGTGTATTCATAACTAACGTTTGTTAATAATACCTTTTAAATACACTTAAATTGTTATGCTATAATCGACATAACAACACAACTAGGAAATATATAGGTATGATATTATGTGCTTGATTTCTTTTTATCCAATTCAGGGATAGGATTTGGCATCATTTACACGCCAGCTACAATAGTTGTCGGATATTACTTCCAGGAGAAAAGAGTATTAGCCCATGGACTCGCGTTATCATTCACTGGCGTCGGTGTCTTGTCTGGTCCGCATGTGATTGGCTGGTTGATTGACCAGTTTGGCTGGAGGACCGCGATGTCCACGCTTGGATGTGTCATTGCCCAGATGGTGGTAACGGGATCTCTGATATTTCCACACGAAAGGTCAAAACAAAGTGCTTCTGTTGCAGTTGGTAAAAATGTCAGCGCATTCACACTTCTGAAAGACAAGATTCTACTTATCATCCTTCTCAACTATTTCACATTAATGATGGGCTACTCAATTCAGCTGGTTCATCTGCCATCTTATGTGCGTTCCGTTGGAGTACCACCGGCCAAAGTCCCATCGCTGTTCACCGCCTATGGACTCACTCTCACTGTGGCGCGGATTCTCGTTGGGGCGATCTGTAATGACAAGAGCACTGATTTGCTGATGATGTACATATCGTGCCAAGGCCTGAACTCTTTGACTGTATTATTCATGCCACTGTTCGCCCATGGATTTGCTCAGCTTGTTCTATACCAAGTTCTGTTTGGCTTATATTACGGTGTTAGCTTTATGTTACTGACGCCTATTGTTGTGGAGCTGTTCGGAGTTGAACGCCTGGCAACAGTGTTTGGAGTTACCTTATGTGTTGGCGGTGTAAGCTATCTGATTGGTCCCACCATTGCAGGTAAGTTCATCTGCCAACATGCCCACGACGCAATATGCATAGAGTGTACATACTTGTACACGCACTTGTACATTCATTTACATTCGATGTACAATCAAATATAGTAAATATCCTAACATATAAGTATTCTTTATAATTCACACAGATAATAGCTTTCAGGTTTACGATTTTCGTCACCATTATTCTGTTATATGAGATTGAAATGAGTCAGGCGCTTTAACGTGGCTAATTGCGTGTCATCATCACCCAATACATCGATATCTTTACTCACAATATCAATCACTGGTTTGGTTTAGTCACAATTGTAAATGGACCGCCGGGCGTCAACGAGATGGAGATTGCCGAAGCAACGTTAAATTTTAGTTCAAGTTTTAGCTCACTTAAGTGTTTGTTTCTTAACACATTATTTTGGAGTACCTTCATTCCTATATATATTTCCCTCACAGACCCACTTTTGTTACTGCACCAACAACTACATTATGTACTTCTACTTCTTCCAGGTGCACTGTACGACATGACATCATCATACGCCGCAGGGTTCCATATTGGTGGTAAGCCTGTACCCTTCATTGCACGAGAATGGTAAAATGTTCACTACAAAGCTTTCTCTATATTTCAACGTTAAGAGCAAACACTTACAATTACAGTTGTGTTTGTGAAAGCCATGTTACTATGTCAAGCCAGCCAAGGCAATGCAGAAAATCCGAAGTGAACTTAGAATTGACGAGACTGGACAATGGCCTTTCAAATAACTTATTGTATACACAGATACTTTTAGAAATAAAAGATAAAGTTTACAAACGGGTTTACACAGACGAATGAAAAGATGGCAGAATGAGTAACGGTTGTCATTAGACAGAACATATTTATTCGGTATGATGAAATATTTTTCAAAAATGTATAGTACAATTACAAGCGTAGGTCATGAGGGTAGTCTGTCGATACCCCCGTGATATAGCACATTCACGACTATGTGCAGTAGGTACTATGCCTCACATGTCATACACTAAACTGACTTTAATCCGACACGTATCTGTATGCCTACAGGCTCTGTGTCTCTTCTGGGCACCATGCTGCTATTCCTCATCCCGATACTGAAGAGAGAAGCCAAAGTTCCAGGAGATCCTGAGAACCCGGAATGTTTGATCCTTCTTAATGCGAAGGAGCAAGGTCCATTTTGAAATTAATGTGCATACTGTATATATTTCAGAGTGAAAACAGCAAAAGACGTTGTTTATCATTTAATATTATCTGTTTTAAATAGAATTATTTGATGATGTTTTTCTTCAATATATTGGTAGGAGATGAGTATGCACTGAGATTGTTAGTGGCTGTGCCCTTAATGGGTGTTGAAGCACGCCTAAAGAGGGTATGTACGACCACAGCTTTCAAGCTGTAGTTATATCTACCTGAATTGTAAGTGCTGAATAAGTGTTTAATATTAATCTCCGGCTAAACCAACAATCGCCAGTAACTAGTGATAGGTGTACATCTGGCAGTGGAACCATATAGGTAGCAGAGATAGAGGAAGTCACCATGGTCCCCAGTATGGTGGCTTTACCTATGTTGCTGGCCACCTAGCCCCGTTTTTATGCAATATCAGTGTAAAATGATCTGTGACTAGTATTAAACAAATCTGTGATATATTGCTGGTTATTTTCTGTCCACCGATAACAGCTTATAATTAGCGTGCAACTGTATGAATGCATGGCGTGTTCAAGTTACAATATGGCCGACATACTGCCGACGTGACTTAGATTAACTCACTCCTCCAACTGTTGTAAACATAGACGTTTCGACAACCACACAAGAATCTGTATCAAAACGTCGCATCACCTGACTAAAGAAGTTGCTCATCCATAACGTTTGTATCCAACTTCTAAAAATGCCACACAAAGAAGGTGGTGTCAAGGCCATATTCCTGAGAGGCCGATACGACCTTTTTTGTAGCTCCTCACACCAGAATTAGCCTAGTGCGGCTCTGAACCTTTTCAGATTTACATGTTGAACGGAACTCTTTGGCATAGATAGTGGATTTGAAAAGCATATACGTGGAACAATATTCAAGGCAACCCCGTCATCTCAACTTAAAAAATGACATTACATGTTTTGTTGGCACGCTACTTGGCGTTGATAGCAAACTCGCTCAAACATTGCACAGGTTCCTTGCATGTACCAATACACGTGACATCCACATGCTTCACTGACTGGGTACAACGAAGGGAAATAACTTCAAAGGTTAAATGATAGAACATGAAAAGGAGTGCACAATAGACCTGCCTGAAGCTGACCCATCATAGGACACATTTGAAATGAAAAGATGCATTGTCTTGGCCTGCTCGAAGCCTGGATCTAAGCCCAATGGGACACCTATGGGATTATTTGCGACGTTCTAATGATTTAATTTTAGCATATTTGAAGGAAATTAAACTATATAGTAAGATAAGATTTGAAGTTCTGAATGTCAGTTTTTACAGTTTACTATGATAATGGACTGACGCTTTAGTGATATTCCTCATCACTTCTATTCTTTTTCTTGGCTTAATAGGAAAATATGTTTTCTTGCAACGAATAACTGCAAAATTGTCAATGCGGCTTAAAGCAACATGTACTCAGTCACTCACACATTTGGGACGTGTAGTAAATCAAAGAGGTCTCCATCACAGAATCTCCATGATCTGATCCAGGCATTCCATGAGGAAATACAATAGGTTTCCCAGTTGATTATAATGCGTCTGATCTCGAGCATGTTGGGGGCGACTTTGTGATGTATTCCGTGTAAAGGGAGGCTACTACAAATACTGACAGAAACTAGTGACACTTTAGCGTTGTTCTATCCGGCTCATCACTGATGACGTCTTGATACTGGACAATCAACAGCAGCAGTTGTAGGTGCCCTGGACTGTAGAACACAATCTGAGACAACACGCAAACTGAGGCCAAGGCCAGTGGCACCGGGAGAGACGTCACAGCACGACAACAAAAGACTTTTGTCTGCAACCACCACTAGCAGACAGTTGTCAGAGGTAGAATGTCACCACAGATTACCAAGAATCGACTGCATACTGCATGTATCAGAGCATTAGAACACGTTAATTTGTTAAAGTGGGATTTAGCCTGAAGTTCTGTAAAGTGACATTGCTGAAAATCACTTTTCTCACAATTCAGTTTCAAGCTGCACTTCTTTTACTAATTGTCAATATTTATAACCGTTGTGTGTGGGCCTATAGCAATAGTTTGAAAAGGCTTTAATTTAAGAGATTTCGATAACCAAATGCATCATTTTTGTTACCCCTTCTCTCTGATCTGTTTCAATGCATATATATATTCAATGCGCCAAATGGGACAAAACAAACATTTGGATAATTTTGTGGATCAGATAAACAGTTATCCAATAATTCCTAACGCAAGCAAGAAACACTCTAATATAACCAGCAAACAGAGAGATTCTTTAAACTCTTTGGCCAATGATCCGAATATAATAATAAAAGAGGCTGACAAAGGCGGAGCAACAGTGATAATGGATTCAACGAACTACAAACACATGGCAATGGACTTACTCCTGGACAAAGGTACTTATGTCCCGTGCAGTGAAAAGAGTCAGACAGTGTAATTCGGAAATTAAAGAACCTAACCAGTCAGTACTCAGAAGAGCTGACATCAAAGGAATTAAATTATATAACACATTTTGACTGCAAATCGAGCAATTTCTATGGCTTACCCAAAATTCATAAAAGTAAGGAGATCGTAAGACTTTGTGAAAGTGCTAAAAGCAGCTATGTTGAGATGGAACACCCAGGAGATTTGAAACTCCGACCTATAATTGCAGACCCAGCGTGTGCTACACATAGACCCAGTAATTTCATTGATATTTTATTGAAACCAATCTCATCAAAAAAGTTTTACTCGTGACACCATACATTTTTCTTTCCTCTTGACCACAAAACGTTAATGAAACATGCAAACTTGTAACTTTTGATGTAAAAAAATTGTATTCAAATATCCCACATAGCCTAGGAATTAAAGCGTTGGATTATTGGTTAAACCGTTGTGAAGCGTTTTACACATACCTGAGAGAAATTTCAAAATCGTTCTTTTTGGAAAGCGTTGAATTCATCTTAAAAACAATATGTTCTTTTTGACGATAAGTACTATAAACAGATTAAAGGCACAGCCATCTGGATTGGATCAGGAACCAAAATGGCGCCGACTTATTATGCGACGCTTGTCTTAGGATATCTGGAGGAAAAAGTTCAAACATAAAATCAGTCAAATTCTTTGAGAGGATGTTGCCCATTATTTCATGGATAATTGGAAAAGATTTATAGACGACTGCTTCATAATTTGGTCATTTTCTGAGGAGAAACTAAATACATTTTACGAACTATTAAATAGCATGGACGAAAACCTTGTTTTCACTATGGAGGCAGATGAAACTAAAACAGCTTTCTTAGACACAATGGTCATCAAATCGGGGCGGAAATTGGACACAGATATCTTCTACAAACCTACAGATACGAAACAATCTTGTCATCCGAGCCACACTAAAAGAAGTCTTCCATATAACCTGACACGAAAAATATGTACAATAGTTTCAAACCAGGACACCCGCAATCAAAGACTGAATGAACTTAGGATGTTTTTACTATTACGGGAATATACCAAATTTCTTGTTGAAGACAAGCGTTACAGCTTAACAGAGAAGATCTTTTGACAGGAACTATGAAACAAACCAATGAGGAAATAGTAATTGCTTTCGTATCTACTTATAATCCGTTGAACCCAAATGTGTTCCTGAACATAAAAACAAATATGTGCATCTTAGAACAAGATGAAAAACTGAAATCAATGCTGAAATCTAGAAAATTAATAAATAGCAAAAGACAAAATCAGAATCTTAAAAAATACTTACAAAAGCCAAATTTATTTTAAAGAAACAGAATGTATCAAATCCTACTGTGTCCAGATGCAACAGAGGTAACTGTGGAACGTGTCGACATATTGTTGACGGACACTCTGTAACTTTCACGAGACACGGAGAATTCTATGTAAAACAGAATTTTTACTGCTCTTCCAAAAACATAATATATGTCATAACATGCACATAATGAACAGTGTATTGGTCAATCCGAAAATTTAAGAGCCCGGGTTCGTGTCCAAAAACAACAAATAAAGTGTCCTGAAACCCGATGTATCCCACTGAGTGAACATCTAGATGTCTGTGCGAAAGGAAACGATATTAACTTTACAATATTTCCTTTTTATCAAGATTCAAAATTCGGACAAAGTAAAATGAATTTTAAAAGAACACTACTTCATAGACAAGTTCAAACCAATGCTAAACCATTGCAAGCTGTGACCTTGTCTCTCTAGAATGTTGTCCCTATTGTGACGTCACAATATATACGTAATGACGTCATACTGTAACTGCTACAATCTCCCTGAAGAGTAAAGAACGAAACATGTTGGAGAAAAAGGCATTCTGATTTTATTCATCTATGTGATATATATATATATATATACTCTCCCAAAAATGAAACGCATATAGGAATTTCAGCTGTATTTTTATGTTTATTTTGAAACATCTTGTAGGCTTTATGAGTGAATGAAATATAGCGAAATTGCACACTGGGAATGCACACTTATCCGTCTTTGGCACCAACTCGAGGAAAGTCAGTTTGAGTGTCACATGGAGACGTGTGGTGGCACGGAAGTCAATACCTCGTGTGACCGCCGTGGGCATCCAGAACTGCACGGCATCGCCTCGGCATCGAACGAATAAGTATCAGAATCTCGTGTTGCCCAATCGCAGCCCACTCTGTCTGTAGTGCCTGTGCGAGTTGCTGAAGTGTCTGGGGCTGAGGGTTACGGCGTCGCACCCGTCTGTCGAGGACATCCCACAGATGTTCGATCGGGTTTAAGTCCGGTGATCGTGAGGGCCAGGGGAGCACATTGATGTTGTGGTTCTGGAGGAAGTCTCTAGTGTGACGTGCTGTGTGGGGCCTGGCATTGTCCTGTTGAAACAACTCCCTCTAGAGATCAATGATTGGAAGGAGGTGTGGGCGTAGGATTCCGTCACAGTACCGTTGAGCTGTCAGGTTGCCCTGGATCATCACCAAATCACTTCTCCTACGGCAGGTGATCGCTCCCCACATCATAACACTTCCCCAGCCGAATCTGTCCACCTCGGGAATGCAATCGTCGGCGAAACGTTCACGTCGACGTCTGTACACCCGCATTCTTCCATCGCGTCGTTCCAATAGAAATCGTGATTCATCACTGAACCAGATTCTACGCCAATTCGGTAGGTTCCAGGCCTGAACGTTGGTGCACCAATGAACTCGATGTCGACGACGTTGTTGTTGAAGCACAGGGCCAAAATAAGGTCTTCTGGCACGTAAACCAGCCTCTCTCAACCTGTTCCTGACGGTCTGTGCAGAAAGCCTCCTCAATCCGGGTATTTGTCGAGCGGTACTGGTTGCCGTAGCTGTTCGATGACGCAGGTGATGTACCCGGATGTAGCGATCCTGCGCCGCAATGGTCCCTCGAGGTCGCCCACTACGAGGGGCATCTGCTACCGAATTCTGCCGGCAATATCTCTCCCAGAGCCGTGAAATGATGCTTTGGTGAACATTCATGCGTCG